TCCTACCGTTCCTATCTCAGGACACTCTATAGCCTATTCAGATACCAAGCTCACCCTACTACCACTCTCATGTTAGCCAAGCTACCAGAGGAAGAGCTTCCAGAGAAAGATAGAGATATAGAGAAGGAAAGAGAGAGAGAGAAAGAGAGAAAGAGAGAGAGAGAGAGAGAGAGAGAGAGAGATCTTGAAAACGGGCAGCAAGGCACAAGGCAATGGAAGGAGACGACCGATGATACAAGCACACCCAGAGTATTCGACTACTCTTCTTCCATCCTCCGAGTACTCGCAACACCTCGTACGAAACGTATTTTGTGAGCCTAAATATCTTGGAATAGCTAGGAGTGCGTTATCGCGACTAGCTCGTCTCTTTTCTTGTTTGACAAGTCGACGGATAAGAGAAATCTCGATGATAATAGTAAGTTCCCTGAAACTTTGTCTTTTGTCCAAATGAACTAATCTAAGAGAGATGATACTTATGTATTATTTAAATCTAACAAAAATAAAAGTCAATTAACTCACCGATCGATGATCACTGGATCGCTCGGTGTTTCGTTTCTATTACCGCAACTCTTTTTGTCGCAACACCGACTGAAAAATAAAACAAATATAACGTTGTTAAAGTTTATTTATAGTTGATTTGTAAGACGGATGGATTTGTTCTTGATCTTTAGACGATTGTTCAAGAGGAACATCGAAAGGACAAATAGGTTTCTGTGTTGTCAGAAGTTTTTGAGATTGCCTAAAAACTACCTCGCACCCTCTTGAAAACTTGGATCGGATGAGAGGAAAGGAGGGTGGAGAAAAAGAGAGGGATAGGGAGATGGTGCGGCCAAAATCCCATGGGTCAATGAGTCAGCCACCACCACCCCCTCAAAGAACGACTGCAACCCCGTATGCCTCGTTACGTTTATGGCTCGTCGCCGCAAGAAGGGTGCCTGTAGAGAGAGAGAGAGGGGGAGAGAGAGAGAGAGAGAATGAGAGTAAGAGAGAAAGAAAGACAGCGAATAGACTCGGATCCGCGTGAATACCTAAGTATATGTGTGACCTTGTAAAGCAGGTAACGCGAGAGAGTGTACGACTTTTCTCGGCAAGATAGCCTCCCTATCGTAAAAAAGTTGCTCTTTCGAAGGTCGACCGAGTATTTCTCTCTTTCTCTCTTTTTTTTTTCTATCTCTCTCTCCTTTTGCATAATCGATTCAACTCGCTCGGAGGGAGAAAAAAAGAATAAATTCTATTTTCGTTCGTAAGCAAAATAATAAAGTATCAAAAAGATAGAAAAAAGTATCTTCAATGGCGACACATACTCACCTGCACATTACCTCGTGCGTCAACAAGACTCTGCACATTTCAGGATTCTTATCTTGTCCTTCGTACATGATAGCCTGTAAAACAAATACAATAGTTTGTTAGTGTATATGTCAGATTTTGGTAAAACTCAAGTATCCATTGAAGATACTCGACGAGCGTTGATGTTACTCGGCCCAAAAAAGGGACGACTACCAACAAACGCATCCCGTAGGACGACTAAGCTGTGGGCGGCGCAAGCAAATCCGTTAAGCCTCCTTCACGACCTTCTGATTGATTTTTATTTAATGAGAACACGTTGTTGCCTGTATTCATGCACTCACGAAGGAGGGAGACTAGCACGGATTAGCCGTAGAATAATATAGCGCGAACAGATAGCCCTCCTTTGATCTCGTTGAAAAAGAGAGATCCGAAAACGTTGAATAACGGATTCAAATTCTCCGCACCCTCCCTTTTTTTCCTGTACTCTCTGACCTTCTTGATTTTCTTTTTTTTCTTTTGTTTTTTTGTTTTTTTTTTTTGTTTTAAGAGAAAAAAGTATAATCAAAACAATGATTCAAGTCATGGAGTATCTTTAAATCAAATAAAAAATAATAATCGAAGTATCAAATAAGTAAATTAAAATAGAAGGGTACTTAATAAACAAGTCGAACACGCTTATCCACGGTTCACGCGCGCACAACTAGGTGAGACTTTGAAAACATTATCAAATATTTATACGAACAAAATAACCGAATTGCAACGCAAACTACGTTGCTTTTGATGGTATACGGCGTTAACCAAATCGGAGAGGGTGATGCCACTTTGCCAAAAGTAGGGAAGGCCAGAACCAACGGAAAATAGAGGAGTAAGAGTAAATACGAAAGAGTAAGAGTAGGATAGAGAAAGAAAGAGAGAGAAAAAGAGAAAGAGAGAGAGAGAGAGAGAAAGAGAAGGGAGGAAGGGTGAAGTTAAGAAGAGGGGTATATACGAAGATGGAAAGAAGGAAGAATGAAAATATCCTATCGTGAGTAGACGCGAGAGAGTTTCACGTGTCGGTTGCCCGTAACAAGTCTTAATAGTCGAACGACATGCGAACTTATTTGTACTTCGAATAATTAACATAAGTGTTCGCCTTATACGTATTAACCCCTGTTAGGAGATAAGAGTCGCGCTTGCAGGTCTATATCGATGATTCGCCGAGTTCGCTTTTTTTCGTAGTATCTTCTTTTACGATACCTAATGCGTTCGAATAATTTGTATTTTACTTTTTTCTTTCCCTTTTTTTAAACCCATTCACATTGGATTACCTATATATATATATACGTATATATGTATGCGTAATACGTTTTTCTCAGTAGGAATTGGATGACGCGAAAATACGTCATTGAAATTTATATATATATATATATATATATTTATTTTTACGAATAAAAAGTTATCGCATTTAGTAAAAAAAAACCTTAAATAATTGTATTTTAACAATCAAATAATTTATGTATCGCAATAAGCAAAAATGTCTTTGAAAAATATTATTAAATTTATATTATACAATATATAGTTCTTTTTTTTTCTAATTTAATGACGATTGAAATAAAAAATCGCGAAATCTTTTCAGTCGCGCGGAATTTAATCTCGCGTCGTCTATCTCGATTTTAAATTACTTAGAGTATAAGTTTGTACGATTAAACGTTTCTTCTTCTTCTTTTATCATTTTTCTTTAATTTCTTTTTTATCTCAATTTTCTCTAAGAAATTGAAGGCAAATTACGTGGTTCGCGATGATCATCTAGTTTTTTTTTTTTTACACAAAACACTTTCTATTTCTTTCTCTATTTCTATCTCTTTATTCGTACGCATATACGTAGGAGAGTTAGTGCAATAACGCGTCGAATAATCGCCGGTTAAACACGTAACGTTATTATTCGTTATGCCAGGTCGTGCAAGCTTGTGCTCGCGAACGCACGCAGGTGACATGCGATATTATTTGCTTAACACCTATTACCGAGCTGCTATAACTGTTTTATTTAGTATACTCTGTCCCTCCTTGCTCGTACTTGCCAACAATTTCGAGCAATTACTTTTACCGCTTACTAGTTATCTCTATTTCTTTCTTTCCCTCTTACTCTCACTCTCACTCTCTCTCTCTCTCTCTCTCTTTCTCTTTCTCTTTCTCTCACGAATTCCTTATTTATTTTATCTTCCGATTATACATATAAACTATAGAGATATTTATCAAAAGATCGATCATTGCAAAGTCACGAAACCGTTCAAATTACCTTACCAAGTAACTAACTGCTTCATCAAAAAAATCGTTTATCCCTTTCCAGGTAGCAATGTATTGAAACGTTTAGAATTATTGACTTTTTCTTTTTATTTGTATCAAAAGAGTAAAGCTATAAGTGTCGAAAGATGGGTCCCGCAAGAGTGTGTTCCTCGGTGTTGGTTATACTTGTTGGTCCCGGAAGGAAGGAAGGAAGGAAAACTTGCTATCTCTCTTTCTCTCTCTCTTTCCCTCTTTTCTTTCTCTATTTCTCTTTCCCTCTCTTTCGTGTAGAATATCGTAGCACAGCGGTTATGTCTGCGAAAGTCTCGAGGGGTAAAGTAGGCGAAAGAGGAGGGAATAAGAGGTCGTCGTAGGCAACATAGTTGTCCTCGTATTCGTCCTCATCGTCTACAACATAGTCGAGGACGCGTCCTGGGGGTGCGACCAGTCAGCGTCAGTCCCACGGGGGCCTTTCTTCCTACGAGACTTTGCTGGTCCCATTGCTGACTGGGTCCTCTCCCTCTTTCCATTCAATTCCCGTGGGAATTACTTGCTAAGGACTAATAGCGATCGTGCCCGAGAGCAAAGTCTCAAGCACTTTTACATTTGACTTATCCAGCAACTTTCCTTAACGTTTAACTTATTCTCACGAATCTAAGCTAGCTAGCTTAGATTACTAGCTAGCTAGCTAGCTAGCTAGCTGATTATTGGCAAACGGGTGCATCTAAGTTCGTGCATTGTACGGTGTAATTATCGTTATCCTATCTTGCTACGAAGCCAGAGCTCAAATTGGATGTCTTCGCTATAGAATATATAGATATATATTATATATATATATATATTATATATATGTATCTAGTTATGGGTGATTTGCTGGTAAAGGTCAATGTTCTCAAGTTATTACAAACTGAACGTGTTCTTGCTAGACGAATTCTTCAAAAGGTCAATTTAAATATCAAACTAAACGAGTCCATGACTAATAATTATTATCCAACAAATAAAATTCAAAAGTTCATAATTGTCAATTAGAAATGCCGTGTAAATTGAACAAACATGAGAGATGATGAAAGATAATAACTTACACGATGGCGTTGTTAGATAAATATAAAGAATATATATATATGTATTTACTTCTTGTGAGGTAACTTTAAGCGAAATAACGTCTTACGAAGGAAAGAAGGAAAGAAACCGACACTGTAGCAATAAAATCGTAAATGTCGTTTTGACAGAGTTCTCGAATGCGAAACGACGAGTACGAGATGGCGAAGAGGAGGAAGAGAAAAAGAACAAGAAAAAGAGAGAGGGGAGAGATAGTAGTAAGAAGAAGAGCAACGTGGAAGCGTGCAGATAAATTCGAAGATAGTCATTCAAATCTGCCGTAATGATTTCCATCCCGAATCGATTCCAAAAGTCCCCTGGGAATCCCTTTCTCTATCGACTAAGCGTACGAACGCGACCCCCTTGGCCCCGAGTCCCCCCCTATACACGGCAACGAACAACATGCATACAATATTACCCTCGCACCCTCGTCTTTCTCTCCACCCTTCTTCGTTGGTACACGATGGACGGGAGTCTCTCCTCTTTACTCTTCACAATTCCTCTCTTCTTTCTTTCCTTATCTAACTGGGATTAACTTATCTCGAACTTATTATTTCTTTAATCTACGCTTAAATACTCATATTTCAGTATTAGTTTATGGCTACTATTCTTCAACGCGATTCGATATCGTATGGTACTCGATTTATCGATACTCCAAATCTACGTCTACGGGCATTGATCTCATAGAAAATTTACCAATCCTAGCTTCACGTTCTGTTCTTTTTCTTCCTTCCTTCCTTTCTTCCTTCCTTCCTTCCTCCTGTCTCTCTTTTTCTTTCTTTCGAAATAAGACTACTCGCCTTATTGGATTTTTCTGGGAATCATCGAAATCGATTTTTGCCAATCTCCGCGTACCGTTGTTGTATTAAGTAGAGAAAAAGAAAGAAAAAGAATAAAACAAAATATTGAAGAAGAATAAGAGAGAGAGAGAGAGAGAGGGAGAAAAAGAGAGAGAGAGAGAAAGAGAAAAGTGATGCACTCGTTCGTGTAGCAACTGTACTGGAAGTTAGAGCTTAAAGGGGTTAGCTACAATTTCCTGTTGTTCATTCATTTAAAGTAACGGCTACGCGTACGGTTCTCTGCTTCCACCGTAGCCGCGTCCTGTAAATGCTTTTTTATCTCCGGAACTAATTACCATTTAGCATTTTTAATCCCGCGAAAAAAGCGCATTCGCTTCGTTCGTTCTCCTACTCTTTTTCTTTTTTCCCTTTTTTCTCTCTTCCTTTTTTCCTCTCTTTCTCTCTCTCTCTCTCTCTCGCTCACTCTCACCCTCGAGTGCCCGGAAGTGCGTTCACGAATGCTTAAAAACGTACGTTGTTAGCGCGCTATTTGGCCGACACGAAGCTCGTCTTTCGCCAAGAGAACGGCGGCTCGTATTTTTCCACGAAATTTCAACGAGAATGAAGGGGGATGGTAAAAATCATGAAAATGGTAGTTTTCTCTAATAAAATCAACTATATAATATTCTCAAGTTGAGAAACCGAAACTTTAAGGAGAGTCAATTATTACGGATTTATAACCGAGCAAACTTGATTTCTTGAAGCAGAAGAAATTCCTTCTTTCTCTCCTCTCTCTCTCTCTCTCTCTCTCTTGTTCGTTCCTTCTAAATGTGATTTGTGAAACGCAAATTTTCCCAAGTCGAACGAGAGAACGTCTACTTTTTTTTTCTTTTCTTTTTTTTCCTTTTCAAAAAAAAAAAAAAGGAAGAACAAAAATCTCGAATATGAATAAATAATAATTTAACGTTTGTGTGTGTGTGTCAGGCGATCATTGAAGTACGGTTTCTATTTCCTGCGTTTTTTCCTATACGAGTACCGTTCAGCAAATATTCTCTAAACATAATGACGATGATGATGATGATCATCATCATCATCGTTCATGGGAATCACTAGAAATGTCTACCTCATCTCAACGTTGTTTTTTAATCCGATATAACGTCAAGAGGAGCTTGTCGATTCTATTGTAAAGCTTGATAAAAACGAGGAAAAAAACAAAAGAAAGGAAAGAATAAAACAAAAAAAAAACAAAAAAGAAGAAAAGAGAGTAGTAGTAGATCCGCGAGAGTAGTAGTAGAACGAGGAATAATAAAAATATACGTTGATCTGGATTTGCCAAACACTTCGCGCGAGTTGTTGCGCCATGGGCCGACCCTCGACGAATGCTATAAGTATACACTACCTACTCTCTTCTTTTCACCTACACGTTTACGTATCGATTTTCGCGCATACACGTCTTCTTCATCTTGCTTTGACGCAGAGACCGGAGAGACGCGTTCAATCGGAGCTTTGATGTATAAATTGCACCTTTTACTCGTTTTCGATCCTATATACATATATACCCTTTTTTTTTCTTTTTTTTCTTTTTTCTTTCTACATTTCTTTCCACCGACGAACACACTTTTCCCTATCTATTTCTTCCTTCTCTTCATTCTCCTCTTTCCAGCCTCCTTTTCCTTATCAGGACAAGACCCGTTTTTTTCTTCCAATAACTTTCCTTCTTTCTTTCTTTCTTTCTTTTTGTTTTATCTTTTCCTCCCTTCCTCCATACTTTCTCAAAATATCGATAATTCTATTGCACGAAGAACCGAAAGAAACCGGACGAATAATTTATCTACATTATTATTTAAATTACTTTTTTTTGTTTGTTAAGGGTTAAAGTAAATCTATTTAATAATTAGCGGGATGTGTCCGTTCTTCGAAAAACGAATCGACCATGTCGATATGTATTTAACTATCTTTATATTTTATTCTTTCTTTTTTTTTTTTTCTATCTTTCTCTTATACCCTTTCTTCCGTATTCTCGTTCTATACGACCGATACCAAGTCCGGGACCGCTCGGATCCGATTAATAAAAGGAATGGATCGCGAATCGAGGACTCGGTCTCTGCCGGCGCAAGGCCACCGTGGCTTAGTAATTTAATCAGCTAAAACTAACATCGACTCTGTTTCCCCGACCCTTCCTTCTCCTCCTTCTCCTCCTCCTCCTCCTTCTTCTTCTTCTCCCCCCAACCTTCTTTTCTTCCTTCTACTTCTCTTTCGTCCTGCCGTCTCCTTCTTATTCTCCTTACCTTCGTAACCGACCGACCCCGAAATGATTTAATCTACTAAAACGTTGAACTCTCGTCTATGGGTACTTAGGTAGTATCACACTGCACGAAATAATATCATTCGTTGGTTTCTAAATCTTTTCTTTCTCTCTATTTTTCTTTTTCTCTCTTCTTACCTCACTAAAATGTAAAAAAAAAAAGATAAAATAATAGAATGCATTTTAGAAACTAAAATGAACAGCAGCAATTCATTCGTTGTGTTATACATCGTATTAGAAAACAACGTTGAGAAGATACATACACAAAGTATCAAATTGTAATCTAGGTAGGCGATGGTTTAGGGTCGAAAGAGAAAGAAAAATAACATAAAGGAACCCTTCTCGCTTCCGATAGAAAATCCGTACGCGTATTTGCGTTCGCTCGTGATGGCTATGATGTTATCTCCGATGTAGGGATCTAGGTACGGCCCTGTGTATAGTTGAGTAGAGTAAAGTAGATTCTCTCTCTCTCTCTCTCTCTCTCTTTCCTTCTCTTTCTTTCTCTCACTCACAACACGTGGTTCGTGGCTCGTGCGCGCAGGGTTTGGCCACGTGGCGCAGATAACGGGATGGGACAGTGGCTGTTGGCTGCTGCCTGGGTACCTCCTTTCTTGGAGGGTGGCAAAGCCAACCCCCCGGAAAATTAAGTGCTTGTAGTCGAGATGATAACGGCACCCGACGATTTCTAACCGAAAGTTTTCTCGCCCTTCGAGTACCGCACGCCGGCGCGTTTGCCTAACGAAACGCGACGAGCTTCTTCGAAACCTTCTCGAGCAAACTGTACCACCATCCTACTCTTCTTTACCTAGTCTCTCTCTTTTACTCTTTTTTTTTCCTACCACACTTTCTTCTTTCTTACTCTTTCCGAGACTTGTTGCAAAGACCGAACGTTCGATACTGATAAAGACGTGACGATGTTGTTTATACATTAAGGCATATTTTGTCCTAACCTATTACTTGTGTATTGACATATTATCTTATAACCTCTTATTTTTCATAAAAACATTGATTTAGATTTTAATAAAAGTCTAACCTTAGAAAGCATTACGAATAGCTTAGATTAAAGTTGTTCAAAAGAATTATATTTTTTTTTAATAGAACTAAATCTCTAAAAATAATAAAAAATCCCATAATTTTCAGCTCACCTGTTTTGTTGCAGAATCTATAAGCCTGACGAAGATGTTTTGCACCTGCCTCACTCCTGAAATGATAAAATTAACAAAAGATATAGATACCTATTATACATATATATATACACACACACATATATATAAGTTCTATTTTAAAAGATACAAAAGAATCTTAAGACCGTTCGGGCCAGGCATATGAATAACGAAAGGCTCGCGTATCTCGATTGCTTATTCCAGCGCGGGTTTGCAAGGGAAGCTTTTTTCGTAGTTGGAGAACGGACAAGAAAGGCCCCATTACCTTAAGATCGGCCGCGTGCAGGAATTTGCGTTGAATACGACGCGGCGAATGCGACGAATACGGAAACGTGTTCAAATTCTGACAAGTTTGGCGCCGCCGAAAGGGCCCTTCCGCGCGTGCCGGGAAAAAAGTGCATATTAAGGAGCATTTAAGGCCGACGACGACAACGACGAAGACAAAGATGAGAAGTGGAGGTAAAAGAGGAGGAGGAGGAGGAGGAGGAGGAGGAGGAAGGAGGACAACGACAACAAGGGAACGAAGGAGGACTCGGTTGCCGCCCCATGGGACCACGCGCAGTATGCACAATCTCCCTGTACTTTTTTGCAAGCGACCCTGCCCGCGCAACTTCGAGCCTTCGAAAGTAACAAACTTCAACGAGAACGTTGAAAAGACGAAGAAGAGAAGTAGACACTCGACTGAGACTCGCCATGCATGCGGCTGTTGGCTAAAGGAAGGAAAAATTCGTGCACGTGTAAAGCGTTAATTCGTTTTAGTTGGGTTTCCCTTTGCGGTCAAGCTTCTGAGAATTTTGTTGTCTTCCCTCTAACGAGAGACCGCTTACCAAAGACTCTCTCTTCTTGTCTTCCAACTTGAATCCTGATGTTAAATTCTTGTCAAATCGTTAAAATATACCATGAAATTCTCTTCTCTGAATTAATTAAGTAAACACGATATCTTTCTTTCCTTTCCTCCTTTTTTTTTTTTTTCTTTTTTACTTTTAGTCATCTTTATTTTTATTCCTTTTTTTTTTTTTATCCAATATCTAGAATCATTCCCATATAATAATTATCGATACGATGATCTATTCGTGATTGTGCAACATTCGAAGATGACAACGGTTAGAGGAGTATCATGTTTGACTAGATGTATCGATGCCATCAAGATGTACCTGAAACGGCAAAACGATGCCGAGGCTAGCGGGATTCCCGCACGATTCTAACGATTAACGATGTTTGTCCATTTCTAACCTATGAGAGACATATTTTCGACTGTGTACCGATCTTATACTTTTCTTCTTTTCGACTTGATGTATTTTTTATTTTCCTTTTCGATTTTATCGAAGAACTTCGTAATCGTTAAAAACACCATATCTCCAATTGAATTCTTTTCTTTTAACTTCGAGGAACGTTTCCTTCGTTATATTTTCTCTCTCGCTTTCTCACTTTATCTTACCTTCTCCTTCTCTAACAAGGGGAATAATCCCAGAGAGTATTTCGGACAGACACCCTGCGTGGCTTCCGGCCTCGCGTGTCCGGTAAGCCAAGTAATCCCAACATAAGACTCCTAGGACCCGCCGGGAGATACGGACTAGAGAGTCCGCGCCGCATAACGTTACTACGGATTACGATACTCCGTTCGAAACTAGCTCACAAATTACCTCGAGAAAGCGTCGCGGCTTTACCGGAAGTTACCTTACTAGCTGTGTACTCCGGTTTACGAGCATAGATACCAACGTATGCTTCGTCTCAGGATTTACCAATGCCGAAAGGAAACTAAAGCGATCGATCCTTTGCAGTTGTTATCCTTCATGATGCACATGATATTTTATTAAAATTTCTTAAAGACGAATTCTATTATATTATTTTCCAAAATCAATTGTGGAAACGTTTCACAAACTCATTCAATTATAATTTCATTTTCAATTTCATTTCTAAAATATCAATGGATCGATCTTCGAATAAAACGCTGATTAAATCTTATTTGGTTGAACAGAAATAATTCGTAATTCCACGAATGCAAAATCGTTCTATAATCGAATATAATAGAATTAACGAGTTATCTCGGATAGTTTAAGTTCAGGATTCTCGGCATACCAAGGTACAAATCGCAATCGTGTGTACCTGAGCGTTACCACTTTTACACAGCAAATGAAGTAGCATGACGAAGAAGTTGAATAAGAAGAGGAATCGAGTGTCGTATCCCGCTGTGCTGTCTCAGAGGCAGATAAGTCTTCGTCAGGATGCATTAGCATAACTAGGCGACCAAGTTCGAAGGATGTAAAAATGGGAATGAAGAAGGGAAAAAAATACACACACGCTTGTGAACTATTTCTATCTCTCTTTCTATCCTTCTCGTCAAAGTCGTAACATGCGATTCTCTATATCTTCTCGATCGATCCTATATCCTTAATAGTCCTTCGTTGTCTTATTACTTGAGTTCATATTCCTCGGTACGTTCACAGAAGAGAACGCGAAACAGGCAACCTTCTCTTCTCTTGCCTCTCCTCTCTCTTTCTCTCTCTCTCACACACATGGTCTCTGTGGATATCTCGTTCCGATCGTTCCTCCGTGTCTCGCCGACGAAAGCTATCCTTGTTTTTCTCTTTTTGTTTTTATTTCTTTCTCTTTCTTTCTCTTGCTCTTAGATCGAACAGAACCGAGAAGAACGGTGCATGAGGAGGAGGAGGAGGAGGAGGAGGAGGAGGAGAAGGAGAAGTGGAAAGAAGAAGGGAATCGAGATGACAAAAAGGGCAAGGGCCCGATATGGAGCGGATCTGTCGTCAACGAGTGACGGCAGCTTGCGCTCCTTATTTAATATTTAATTATAGATTTATTGGTCGGATGAGAAGAGTCAAAGAGAGACAGAGAGAAATCGGTGATGACACGCAGACACCTCATCCTGGTGCCTGTTGACTTCTGACGAACGTTCATCGTCGGCAGCCGCGAAGACGCGAGTCAATTTGTCCTCTTCCTCTTCCTCCCTCTTTCTTCCTATCTTCATCCAAGAGAGGAAGCAGGCAAGCAAGCAACCAACCAAGCACGTCGAAAGCATTTCGTGCATGAAACTTTTATAAACCAGCACGTTGGATCACAAACGAGTCCGATGTATTTCTCTTTCTCATCTGTGTTTATATATGTGTATGTGTATGTTTGTATGCATGAGAATACTATAAATCACATATATAAATTCGTATCAATAAGAATGAATTCTGAAAAGGGATCATTCGTCATTTTTGTCTGTCTTAAGATTTAACATTTTCTAATCTTACAATTTCTTTTGTATAATTCCAATTAATTTTCAAAACTATAGGAAAGTTGTCAATCCAGTTCAAAAGCGGGGAATCTTTGATTGCCGACTTTGTTCTTGATCTTTCTCAAAATCTCACGGAAAGACCGTTGTACTTGACAAAAAAGAAAGGAAAAAGAAACAAAAAGGGAAAAGAAAGAAGGTGGAGGAGGAGGAGGAGGAGGTGGAGGAAGATGAACCGCGAGATCTTTAAGGGGCAAGCGTTGATATTCCTTACTTTGCAACAGTTAGTTGTTTCTTGTTCGCGATGTTGGCAACACGTTTTAGTGCCCATAGATGGCAGGGCGGCCCCTCAGTCAGGCCTGCCAACGCAAAAATCTCGCATTGATTGATCGGATCCCGAAGTCGAGAGAGACAAGAAGGAATCGTGGTATGGAGGGAAGGATAAGACGGACGATGAGAAAAGAAAGGACATTCGATGAGTAAGAAGAAAAGAAAGAGGGAAAGAAAGAGAAAGAGAGGAAGAAGAAGAAGAATAAGAAACCAGAAAGAAACGAAACTAAAGGAAGAAGGATAAAGTGAGCTTCGGTGAAGTTGGCCAACGGATATCTACTGTTGGAGTCTGTTGGAGTAGATCGGTGATGGCGTATATGGGATGAAAAACTCTCTCTGGACGGAGTCCCGTGGATAGCGCCTTACAGACCCCTTTTTAATATGTTCATAATGCGAGCTCGTTTTTAAGGGTCTGCTACTATCCCCAGTCTTACTGTTTGTCCAGATACTTACTTCAACAGGACCACCTCCAAATCATTCTCCTCACTTCTTCAATCCGTTCTGTTTCTTTCTTTTCACCGTTCTGTTAGCTCTCTCCCTTCAACCTATCTTCTCTCTTTCTCTCTCTCTTCCCTCCCTCCCATTTTCGGTCCTATGATCTTCGTGCGCTCAAAGCCACTTCGGTGTACACACGCATCCAACTTCTTCAGAACGGAAGCTGAAACCTTTTTGCCCTGGTGGCCGAGGCAGTGACGTAAAATATGTCTCTGTTGCGGACCGCAGCCACCAAAGTTCCTGTGCTTTTTAGCGGCCCTAAGAGACCGGGTGTCCGCGTGGAATGTTGATGGCCCGTCATCGTCGCTTCGAATGGGGCTATTACGTACTCGTTTCGAACCCGAACCAAACCCACCCACTCTCTTCCTCAACCTCATTTTCTCCTTTACTCCGACACTACTGTTAATATTTATCCCTACTTCCTTTAACACTCCCTCTTCCTTTTCATCACTTCAGCAATAACATTGCTGACAGTTTACGGATCGATTCGAGACGTTTTGAGACGTTTTGAGACGTTTCGAGATAGCTTAATTTTTTATCCCATCGTAAACGATCGATCATATCGTTACTTAGATTTTATCAATATTTTATTATTTACAGATTGATGGTTGATTTAGTTAGATTATATTATTAGAATTCGATTTAAAATGTCAGATAAGAGATTTAACCATAAGATTAAAAAGAAAGGAACTAACCGTTCGAATAGAGCAGATGTAGACTGTATTGTATCCCATTGTTCGTCTTTTGGCCCTCAGATTCCTGTAACAGAAATAACATGAGTTTCAATAAATAAATAAATAAATAAATAATTAACTAACTAACTATGTAAATTAACATTTCGTGGTCAAAATATATATTCGATAATGTGATTACATTATATATGCATAGGTGAGAGAGAGAGAGAGAGAGAGAGATTAAGATTTGAAAAGAAATAGAAGGAATTGAAAATAGATAAGATGGTAAAAGGGTGTATCCTTCGATTCAAAGAGCCCTTCTAACTCCTGCCTCTTTTTTTTTTTAATTAAGTGCATTGTGACGTAACGATACTAGAACGAGGAACGCCGTGACGATGGCTGTGCCCGTCTACTACCTCACGCTAATTATTAATTTCTTGATGCGCCGGTAAGAGCCGTGCCATTACGTATCGCGTGGCGTGCGATGCATAATTATCGTGCTGCTTCGTTGACGAGTCATGCGTGCACCCTGCCATATGCCATGAGAGCTCGTGGTAATGCATTTTCAACAACAACAACAACCACCACTACTACTATTACTACTAATACTACTATTATTTTATCATCCACCCACTCTGTATCTTTCTCTCTCTCTCTCTCTGTATATATATATATATACCTATCTTTTCTTGTATACGCGGACGAGCATGACTTTTTGAGAAACAACCATGACTTCTCGTGGACAGAAACGCCACTGAGAGCTGGAATAATCGAGTTTAGATCGATTTTACGTCGAATTAACGTAATTACCACGACCTTCGACGTTGATATCGTGCTTCTAGTAGAAGCTTCATTTTATTAATGACGATCGGTCATCATCGTCGTTTGTGTCCGTAGTTACGGACGAAAATATTGATAGTGCGTTAAATAAAGATCGATACTTTTCAACGATATTACTTAAACTAAATTCTTGAGATAAGATAATAAAAGAAATAGAAAAACAAAGTTTGTTTAACAAATTAAAGACTCGACAAATAATAATGAAAATCAACCTTTCTCGTTTTCTCTATTTCTCTCTCTTTCTTTCTCTTTTTATTTCTTTTGTTTTTGCTTTGTAAAGATCGAGTACGTATTAAGGCTTGTTTCACGTCACAACTCAACGTCTCGTGACCATTAATCTCGAAATTCGCTGGCCGAGCTGTACGAGCGACGTTAATCAGGTATATACGCACGGTTTATCCGATCGAACTCTCTCTCTCTCTCTCTCTCTCTCTCTCTTTACTACTCTAACTCGACGACTACTTTTTAATTAAACACGAAGAAAAAGCGGATCGAAGGTGGATTGAACGCGAGAGCCACTGTATTTACCTAGGCCGCCCGTTTCCGGGAATCGGCACGCGTACGAGAAACGATCCGTTCGTTAAAATACGAGTTTCATCAGAATTGTTCGTTCTTTTAGACCTATTCTAAGATCATTGCTAAATCTAACGAAAAATTATACACTTATCGTCATATTGAATTATTTTAACATTTATTATTTTACGTATAACAATGTTCATCTATAAATTAATTTCATTCATTATTTAACCATGATTTAATCTAATGATATTTTAAAATAATTCTCGTAAGTGAAGACAAATGTTTAACTCGACAAGGCTTTTTTTCTTTTTCTTTTTTTAAAATATGCAAATGTTTCTATCATCATCGAGGGGGAGGATGGATAGGGTGGTCGAAGGGGGAGGGCAAGGTGTACCGGGCCACGAGGGGTTGATGTATGGTCACGGTTCACGACCCTAATTAATAGGGAGGCCACGCGATACGAGCATTCCTGTCGCGTGAATTATACACGTGTGTGAGAGAGACGTACACTTTGGTAGTAGTGTGGTAACGCACGTTGTTACACTTACATGTGTAAAAAGAATAATAATATAAATATCCTTCAACGAGAATAATATTTATGAAAGATTCATCAATTGAATCTTTCACATCAGAACACAATCGCTAATATGTGTTAGACGAGACGAAATATTTTCGATCTTCTTAAATCAACGATCTTCCATAGCCGAGCGAAACCGACTAACTCTCTACGCGCCGTCCTGTCGAATTAGTCGACGATTTATGGTGGATAGATTTATTAGGGGGTGCACCTCGTTACCCTGAGGCATAGAAGCAGACGAAGAACAAGAGAGAGAGAGAGAGAGAGAGAGAGAGAGGAGAGTTTAAAGAAAAGAAAAAGAGACAGTGTAACCTCGACGATATACCCCGGAGGGCTGAGTTAAAATTTTCGGAGGTCATATATCGAGATTACATATACGTATCGATAATTTATATCGACTCTTCTTAGATTTTTGATTTTATTCGATTTTCTTCGAATTTCATCACGGTAAAATTATAGTCGAATAAAACGTTTAGAAAATCCTGGGTAGAAAGAAGACGTAGGAAATGAAAGCATTCCGTGAGCATGAAAGATTAACACGTCAAATGGCAGGAACGAATGCGAATATTTGTCCATTTTTTTTTTCTTTTCTTTCTTTTATCTTTCTCTGTCTGTCTGTCTGTCTCTCTCTCTCTCTCTCTCTATTTCCTTTTAGATACCGCATATATGTATGTATCTAAGATTGATATCTTTCTCGTGGTAGCTTACGACATATCATCTTAAACGTACACGTGTATCCCAAGCTCTTGACGTTTATTCGTAAAAATGTTAACGATGCCCGTTCTTTCGAGCCACCTACCGCGTCTATGATAAATGACGGATAAACATATCCGAGAATCAACATTCGCCGATAGCTTACACAAACGTGACAGGCGTGGCGATCGTGCAAGAGAAGAGAAAAAACTGGAAAAGGTAGAAAAACACGAGAGTTCTGGTAAACGTATCGACATCCATACGTATGGGTATATAGTATACCTATCTATCTATATCTATCTCTCTCTCTCTCTTTCTCTATCATTTTCTTGCTTCTTTTATCGTTCGATAGTCACGTATGTAGCAATTCACATATAAACCGTGTCTTCTCCATTTTGACCAGACGAAGATAGGAAATGCTCGAACGAAATACACGCTGGCAAATCCGAAAAGTCGTTTGTCCGGTGGTTATAGTCCGCTATGTAATGATTTCTTTTACGTAATCGGAATCAACGCCGCCAACGATTGAATTTTCCTTAAACAGCTATACTAATTGATCAACGGAAAGTGGAGTCAGTAACGATGACCGATCGCTATTGACAATCGTTCGTATGTGTCTAGTGTGTAATAGTCGAGAAAGAGCATTCTTTCGGGAACGCGAGATCACCGCGAGATAAATCGCGAGAATAAAACCAGTCCTCAATCAAATAGCCATTATTTATTTACTCCAAGTCGACCGGATGTCTCAGCGTAGAAATAATAGAAAGAAGCGATTCACAAGGGGAGACCATTAAATCTCAGTGATCGAGGCTAGTAATAACGAGATATACGTTTTCTCTAACATCTATAAGTATTTATTTCAAAGAAATGAAGTAGCTAAGATGATCACTTCTATCACAACCTACATAAGTATATATATATATATAATACACTACACTAGTTCAATCTTTTTCAACGAACTAAATAACCCATTACCGTGAGTATTTTGTTCGACTTTATATTTATTATCGAAACGAAATAGATAAAGATACGAAAGCGAATAATATACTAAATAAACGGGAAGATAGATTTTTACTCCTGCGATAAAATGTGTGACGAATTTTATAACGATCGGGGAACGAAAAAGAAAAAGAAAAAGATAAAGGAGAAAAAAAAATTAAAGAAAAAAAAAAGAAAAAGAAAAAAAATACCGAACATAGGCGAGAAGCTTCGAAGTAATTTGTAGATTGCGGACATTTAATGCACGAGAACGAGAAAGAGATAGAGAAAGAGAATATGGAAGGAAAAGAGAGCGATAGAGAAAAAGAGAGAGAGAAAGATGACGCTTAATAACGAACGCATATAATCCTCCGAGCCCTATCGGTCTCGCGCGACGCGTTTTCTAATCTTTGATCGAAGGAAGGAAGGAAATGGAAGGGAGAAAAACTAAGGGGGAGAGAGTAAAAGGTGGTGGCGTCGTGGACTCTTTATTATTCCGTCGGTCGTGTTAGTTCGGTGCTCTCTCGCGTGACCAGGAACGCGTAGAGAAACGTGTTCTTCCACCAGCCATTTCTCAAACGGCCAATGGATTTTCGCCTGTCCGATTAATTGCTGGAAAAGCTGGTAGGTGTGCTTCCGCCACCGCCGCCGTGCGGACTATCGATATGTATACACATAGAAGAGGATCCGTTTAATATTTGACGTCACCCTTTCCCCTTATACCCCCGTCCAATGGAAACGGCAATTATCGAGATAAGCGTACGCTTGCACGATATTCCCCGATGTCATAAAGGGCCTCGTCTCCTTTTTCCTCTTGTCCTTCGGGAAAACCACCCCCTTCACCACCGATCGACGTTCGAATTCTCTACTTTCTCGCTTCGCGAACTTTCCTACTTTCTTTCCTTATTTCTCTTCATTTCTCTTTTTTCCTCTCTTCATTTTATAATATCTTATATTATAGCATACGTAGATATATATATATATATATGTCCATTTGATATACGAATCTATCTCTTTCTCTTTCGAAATATTAATTCAATCTTTATGAAAGAGAAACTAGAGAAAGTTATCTCGGCAAAGAACAAGTTCATTAGTTTTGATTATGATCGTAAGAGAGAGAGAAAGAGAGAGAGACTCGTATATCTACTTAGTAATGCTTAATAACCATCTAACGAGTGTAATACAATTTTACCTGGTCTTTCTCGACGAATCCCATGAACGATGTCCTCTCGATTTCGATTGGTTGATCGTGCCGATCAAAAAGAGCTATGACGAAATGAAAGAAATTACTCTTTCTCAAATTACTTGGCGGTTGTTTCTCGAAATGCGCCTTAGCGACGCATACCCTGTAACAAATGAAAATAATCATGTAATCGGTAATATCGTTAACAAGGAACATATGAATTTCTATGTATTAATATGTGTAAACACGATTAAACGTCGCGTCGAATTGTTTCCGTGCAATCAGAAGAAAATGGCCCAAAACGTTGTAAAGGAAAGACAAACGAGACTGAAGGTTGCGACGCAGGTGGCTACGACGCCTTAAAATCCCATTAAGGTCTCATGTGCCGAGATTAGACCACCGGACTCCAATGCCATCTTTGAGTAATGGCATGAGAATTTCCCTTTTCGGGTTCCTTCGTCACAGGTAAAGGAAAGAGAAAAGGAAAAGGAACTTTTACTCAAAGAATTTCAATTTTCGAACAATCGATTAATCGTGCATCCTTTGATCGACAAAATTTAAAAAGCACATTGAATATGTATTATTCAAAAAAATAAAAAAAAAATAAAAAAAATAAAAAACAGAAAAAAAGAAAGTATCATTCATCTTCGTGAAAGGGTTTAACAAATTTGCTTTTCTTTTTCGACGATTAAATCTGACGTATAAAATTCTTACGAAAGATCCCTCCTTTCGTCTTTTCGTGTCTCGTTTAACAACGGTGTCTAAACAAAACCGAGCTCGGTCGATTTCTTTTTCACGAGAACGAAGTGAAGCTCGATCGTAGCACCTTCTCTCGCAATTAAGTCAACCACTTGCATATTTAAACCTCTGCTAACAAGCGGCTCGTTCTCGAATTTAATGCGCTTTCATTCTCTACTCTTCTCTTCACTTCTCTCTTTTCTCTTTTCTATTCTTTCACGTCCGCTCATTTGCTTGGTTTTCACGTATCGTGAGGTTCTTAACGCGTCTCAATAATGAGCAAATTATTTCGAGATAATTATAATCTCGATCAATTTTCAATCATTTTATGTAAACATTAAATTACGAATTGTAATAAAAAATAAGAAAAAAAAATATATAAAAATTCGTTAACCCTTCGACGGACGAATACTCCAGGTAGAAGCAATTCGCGTTGACGGAATACTTTTTTGTTTGTTTATATGAACTATGTTGATTAATCGCAACTAACAAGCTATAACAAAGTAAAAACAAACAAAAACCCAATACAAGCGTTCTTATTTCATACAGATAGTTTTCGTTGGACGCATATTTGCATTCATAGCATTCAAAGAATTTTAAATGGTTTTAAATACAAAGGGTTGAAAACAAAACGTTAGATGTTGTTTAACTCTTAAATTACTTATCTATGGAACAAGATCCTCGATCTGTAACACGATAGGCATATCCATGTTGGAAATGCACCATGGAGAAATCGCTCAACGATAAAACCGTCGAGAGACCGATCGACGGGGGTTTGGTAGGAGGAAGGGTGAGAGGAAGGGAGAGGCGGTCGCGCGGTACCGCATCGGACTCTCCGAGCGGAAAACTGAATCGACTGGACCGAAAATGAATAGCGGCAGTTTTGCAGCACATTTGCGAAATAAATGATGGTATCGGCGATGCGTTTGTCACGGCGCCGCGAGAGTGCGAGAACGAGAGTGAGAGGGGGTGAGAGGTACGGGAGGATCGGTAGATTTTGGAGGGTAGGAGCGGGAAAATTGCAAGGGGTTTTGCGAACGGTTCGTGAGGGCTGGCACAAGAGGAGGGACAGGGAGAGGAGAGGAGAGGAGGGTAGGTAGGTAGGTAGGTAGGTAGGAGTACCGGAAGGGTGGAACTGTGCTGCAACCAACGTTACGTAGTAGGACGGTAGGGTTGTGAGGAGGGCTGGGTAGGGGAGTGATGTACTGCCCGTGTCGATAATTATCGGTGGCTGATTAACCGGCCGCCGGTTCGCGCCCCATAACTCTCGACGTCCGATTATTTTGCCCCGTTCGCCATGCACCAATTCCTATATAACGTGTGGCCACGTCCTCTGCCACACCGTTACATTATCACCTATCGTACACGCTTAAACTCTTCCTCCCATTGGTAGAGACGTTCAAAAGAATAGATTCTTCATTATACCAATTTAAAAAGATTAGTTTAAATTGACTTAAAATAAAGATAATTCATTGGACGTAATTGTTAAAAAAAAAAAAAAAAAATTGATTACCTTTTAAATCTGTTAAGAGTTTTGACAACGATTACTTTTTAAATGGATCGTTCTCACATTCTATTCAAGTAAGGTACTACTTTTTTCACGAATACTTTGTATTTCATTGTCAGGTTTTTTCTTATTATTTGTCTTCTTTTCTCTTTTAACAAATTTATCACTTACTACATGTTTTTCGTGGTTATCTAACAAAGATTCGCGTGGTTGTTTCGTAGTCGGACGACCAGGGACATACACCATCGATAAGACTGGTTGCGCAAATATGCGTGGCTGTGCATGACCTGGGCCTTCCCTACTTTGCGTAGCGAATGATGACTCTTCTGCACGATAGACCTTATCTCTACTTGTATGCGACGCATACATTTTTTCACGGCTACTACCTTATATGAAAATCTAAACCACGATTATAACTTTTTTTTAACCTCTCCAGTTCTTTCATGTCATACAAAAAAAAAAAGAAAAAAGAAAATACGAATTGTACGTATCTAAAATCTATTGAATTATGAACTTCACAAGTACATTAATTTTTATATTTAATTAATCACGATATTACCAGTTAAATATATTTTGTAAGAAAGAAAAGAATAAAATATTATAAGTATTTACTTCGTTAAATATAAAAAGAAGAAAGACAATGTTATTACAATGATAGAAAGAAAAAATAGAAAAAAAAGAAGAAGAAACTAAAAAAGAAATTGCAAAACAAATTCGAAAGGTATCTATCGTCCGCGTGTTACCGGAAATTCGTGCGGTCAAGAGGCAATTTGCCGAGCCAAAATAATTATAATCACGCGGCGGGAGAGCACTTTCCGCCAATATTCCTCTATTAAGCGGCTATTTTTCGCGTCATTTCGTTCCTCGTGTAGATGGGGTGGTATTCTGCGTGGCCACGTTTATGGTCGGTTATGCTTTACGCGCGTGGCTGTGGTGAGGATAGCACGTGCGTGTAAGTGCATGCGTGTGTACATGCGTAGGTTAATACACATGCGTATGTTGTGTCCCGTTTTGTGCGGCGATCGACGCCAAGGTGATAATTACAGGCTCGATTCGCGCGTACAATTTGCCTCGCGCGTTTCCCATTTTCCGGCACAACCAGATAACGGGCGTCTCGTTGATTTCACACCATACACACCTGTGATGCTTCTCCTAACCCTCATCCCCCTCCCCCCCCCCACGGCACTGTTCTCGTTGTTCCCTACATTCCTATCACGAGTTATATTACATTTTTATATAGAAAATTTATTTTGATTGTTTTCTTTTCTTTTCTTTTCTTATTCGTGTATTCGCAAAAGTTTCGTACAAATGGGTAACAAAATTTGATGAGCGTGATTAGACAAATTTTCAAGTGATTTATGATTCGAAGTGTCAACTTCTCTTTATCTTTTTTTTTTTTTTTCTAGATAAAATAGAAAATCGGGTTTGTGTGTCACGATTTGGTGAAAACGTTCTTACAAAGAATAGCAGAAAATGCGTTGCTCTTGGTTTGCTTTATAACAGGCCAATATACAAACGCAGATGCGATGGGAGAGTATAACAAAGGATAACCAATCGGAGAGGAAGGGAAGGGTGGAAACGAGCTTGGCAGTTCTATCGCGCCTGCACCTGAACGTACAATTATTATTCGGTTAAGTCTCAGGGGTGCGATGCCATCCATCACCTTTTAAAATGTCTAGCATTTACCAACCGCATGGATAGTATTTGGGTTAAAACTCGAGACTCGCTTTTCCGAAAGAAGAGTGTGTGACCAAAAAAAGAAATAAAAAAAAAATAATAGGAAAAATATAAAGAAAACGAAAAGATAAATGGAACGAAATAAAAGAAAAAGAAAAAGAAAAGGAATAAGAGAAGAAATAGAGACATAAGATATGATTAATGAAATTGTAGATAAAATGAAAACAAATAGATAAAATTGAACATAATTTTTCGTGGTTTATGAAATACTCGTCGAATAGACACGATCATCATACGAAATCGTATATTGATCGATATACATCGTAGTCGATGGCATGTATTGTTGTCTCTGGGAATCGCGAAATGCGACCTATGCTATTTGCACGAGCGTGCATTATGGACGAAATACGCGGATAATACAAGCCCGCGGTTATGGATACGAATTCGTGGATAAAGCAATCGCGGAGAATTACAATAAATCCGCAGTTAATGCACACACCGCCGGGGCGTTAGTTATTACGAGTTAGCCGAAGCGCAGTCTATTTACGCTCACGCGCCCACCACCACCACTGTGATTCATAATGCGCGCCGAGATAATGAGCAATTTGTAATATATCCGAATGTAATTCGCCGGTAGCGCGCCGCTGGTACCGTTACTCCTTCTCTCACACACTTTAATTTATTATCGCGTTTTGGCCTCGACTATATTTCTACCAACTGCAAAAATGCGTCTCACCCGCCCAACAACCCCCTCTTTTCTCTCTCTCTCTCTCTCTCTCTCTCTTTCTCTATTCATCGTTTCTTATCAACTACACTTTGAGGGAGGGAGATGAAAAATAAATCTCTCTCATTCGGGGCTACCTTAAAATCATTAACTCCGAGGTTATAAAAAAAAATAAGAAGAAGAAAAAGTAAAAGGTGGGAAAAAGTTTCTTCTTCTTCTTCTTCTTCTTCTTCTATGAGTCCGTTTCGAGTTATTTTCTCACTCCTTCATTCCTACGGAATAAGTAGAATGAGAGAGAGAGAGAGAGAGAGAGAGAGAGAGAGAAAGAGAGAGAAACATAGAAAAAAAAAGATTTAAAAAAAAGCCGCAGAAAAAGTCCATCGTTGTTATTTTTTTTTCTTCTCTCGCACACACGACAACACCTCACCTCACCTCTGTCCCTTTTCCTCGTCGGAGGAGTTCGCGGTGGTTTACTGCTTCATTAGGCAGGTAACTTTTTTAGGGCTTTTTAAAAAGCGCGAGAGTTTATGCCTGTTTGCCGGGAGTTTTAAAACAGCTTCGCGAGTCCTCCTCTTTCTCTCTTTCTCTTCTTTTTTTTTTTTATTTTGTTCATCCTCGTCCTTTGGAACCCTCTACTATCTACAGTGTGACTGACTCTTTTCCCCGCAGAATGGAACGACGTTACCAAGAAACGCGAAAACTTTCTTCCAAAGCGTCGACTTTGTATTACGAAGATACCTACGAGACGAGCCTGACATTTAACGCGTTTTTCCCACCCTCCTTTTCGAAACTTTCTTAAAGCACTTGACGAAAACTATCTAAACAACATCGTTCCAATTAACTTTTCGTAATGAAGATAAATCATTGATGATCTACGAATTTTATTTCTATTATAATTTTCCATGATTTTTTATTGGTTTATTCTTTTGTTCGTAATATAAGGTTAGTGTTATACGATATATATCAACCTGCCTACCTAGATAATTTGATTTTGTTCTCTTACATCCCCACAATTTTTCATTAATACTTTCGTTAGAAATGAGAACGAGCTTCTCTAAGGCTCTCAACGACAGGAAAGTCAACGTAGAAGAGCGTCTCGAGAAGAACCGGTCTTTCCGTTTGTTTCGCGCATAGAAATATCTCGTGGAAGAGATGAGACACTTTTCTTAAATGCAATGAGAACGAAAAAGAATAATCTTGTTTGTCGTCGTCGTTGTCGTCATTGTCGTCGAAGTCCTTCTCGAGACTTTGCCAGAGTTTTATGCTTCCTTTATTCTTTCATATGATGACAAAAATATTACAGAAATTATAATTTAGAATCTTGAAAGTAAGAGAAAGAAAGAAAATAAATAAATAAAGAAATAAAGAAAAGAAAAGAGGAAGTTAACCGCAAGAATTTAGAAACTCGTAAAAAGAGAGGTCGGGCTTTAATTTGGTGAGCTTTGAGAAAAGAGAGTAGTTGGAAAAAAAGGGCCGAGTGAAATAGAATGCGAAATAAATAGAAAATAAAACAGAGAGAAATAAAAAGAGAAAGAGAAAAAGTGAGAGAAGTGCAAAGTGTGGGAAGTGGGATGATGGAAAAAGAGAAGGTAGAAGAAAAAGAAGAAGAAGAAGAAGAAGGAGGAGAAGTAAAAGAGAAAGAGAGAAAGAAATAGAGAGAGAAAGGCGCTAAAATTCTCAATTACATTAACTCGATTCCGGTCGGTCCCCGTGTCACGGCATGCTAGGAGGGGAGTTAGTTAAGAGAGAACCGCTATTGGATTAGCGAAGCCGCCAACCCAGCCGGTTTACCTTCTCGAGTCCTCGTATCTGTGCCTTCGTCGTTTGCACGTCGTACAAATCCCTTAAGCGAACTCGCAATAAAGCGCGGTTTATCGTTCACCAAACGCAGCTACGTGCTGTACCAAACGCGAAAACTCCTCTTTCGCTTCTACCGACACGTCGAAGATAAAGACGAACGAAACGAAAGCGATCGACTTAGGATATAGGTACCTCCTACAAACACACATTCTTTCTTTCTTTTATTCTTCTTTGATTTTGTGTTTTGTGTTTATTTACTTTTTTCTTTCTTTTTCTGTTATTTATTATATTGTATAAATTTTTATTCCTTCGTCTGTTGATATAAGTAAAAAAAAAAAAAAAAAGAAATGAAATAAGTTAAGTATTTATTCATTTTATAAATTAATTACTTGTTAACTTTTTGTGTCACGTAAATAATAAACGTAAATAATAAACAGGTTAATAATTCATTTTTCTGATTTAGTTCTTTTTTTTTTCCTCCTAATTATTTCTATGTAATTTTATTTAATGGAATTTTTGAAAGAGAAACAGAATTTGTCTCCATATACAGTTTAATATGAAATTCTTTTCTTTCTCATTTTGAAGATTTAAACTTGTGTTATTTGTTTGCTTTTCCTCTTATCATTAAATTGACTTTAATTGGACGATTAGATTTTGACTTGTAACAGTATTAAGTATTTCAAAAGTAATCGTATTTCTTTTTATTCCTAATATTTTTTCGTATGAGTATCCTTGTACGAAGTACCGAATGTTTATAAATATTCCAAAATATATTCTCGCGACGTTAATTTTCGAATTTTGAATATCAAAACACCAACATATTACTAATGTATTTATAAACATGTATTTTTTTTATACGAAGAAGTCGAGAATAATTGGGTAAACTAAAATAAACACTATTTAACGTTCTTCACGAATTTGTTAATTAAAAATAAATTTATCCTAATTATATAATCATTTGTAAATGTATCTAAATCGATAATATTATAATACATTTCTCTTTTTTATATCCTTTTTCCATTAAACAAAGATAAATCCTTCGCAGTGCTTTTACCGTCCGACGGCACACGAGATTTCCTCAAAAAGGAACGGACTATAGTCAATTACAACAAAATAACACGATCTATAAATGTTTCTAATAATCACAATTCTCACATTATACATCAATTAATTGAATTTCGAATGTTATGAAAAAATCTTCTAATCAATATTCCCCAGTAAAGATAGAGATTAGAATTTACATTGACAAAATCAAATTAAACGACATCAAAGAAATAAAAAATATTATCATTCGTTTTCCGTCGCTTCGCGAAACAAACTAACTTAAATGCGTCAAATTAATTTTGAAAAAAAAAAAAATAAAAGAAAGAAGAAACAAAAAAATGAATATAATATTAAAAAAAAAAACAAAGAATACTCACGTTCCGTTATCGGCAATGGTGGGTTGGGGCCAGGTACGTGGTACAGATTCTTCCTTGAGTATCGGTCTCATGTCCTGAGGCGCGAAAACGATAGGTGCGCGTGGGTGATGATGAGGTGGAGGGGCCACGCTCGCACCGTAAAGCTTTCGTCCCCAGTGTCCGTCGAGTTCGACGGGACTTCCACCACCGGTGGTGGCACCGGTGCCACCGGCGGCACCTAATCCGAGCCATGGCGACCCCCCAGCACCCACGATAGTGGAGCTGGGCAGGAGACCGCTCCACTCGTCGGACCGCGTTGTGAAGCCGTAAGGACTCTCTTGCGGCAACAGCCTTCCTTCTTCAATTTTCACTTTTTCACCGATAAATACAAACAACCAAAAAAACTACTTAAGATATTAATTATTTACTCTCCTCCTCTCACAGAAATTCGATTTCTTACTTCCAATCGAGTTTCTCTTATCGATCTTTTGGTTTAAGTTCACCGATTTTTTTTTTTCCCCCCACCTTACGATACGAACTATTCTTCTTCTTTTTTTTCTTTATCTTATTTAAATATAACACGTTATTTAATCGTTGTAATTTTCCACGTTGCGTTTGATAAAAGAAAATATAGAAGTTCAAAAACCGCGTGGCTGCGCGCGATCATTCGCTTAACACCTTCCTCCTTCGTACCAACTCGTTTCTCCTCAACCTCCCACGAGTACGATCGATCGCGCACTCCCTCACGTGTCTTTCACAAAAAAATCACTCTCGATTACCGCGAAAACTCACTCTCTCTTTTTCTTTGATATTCTTCTTCTTTCAGTCTGTTTATCGTCTTTATTAGAAACACCACTACTGTTATTTCTACTATTTGTCACTTGATATGTCGTAGTTGTCCCTTCTCTTATTATTTCTTCCGATCTTCTTGAATGTTCCCCAAGATTCTTCTTACTCGTCCTCGTCGTCTTCCTCGTCGTTAACGCAACGTATGAGAACGACCGTCGAGGAAGAACTCGTATGATCGTTCTGAGAAGTCAAGTCGATGATAGAGTCATCTTGCCGTTCCGTGTTCACACGTATACATATACACATATATATATAAGATATGTATAAGTGTGCGTCGTATAATATGTGTATATGCGTGTACTATGTTCCAAGTAGATCGTAGGTTTTGTGTTCTCTCTCTATCTTTCTTTGTAATAGTTGACGTCGTTGTCGGAAGAGAAGAGCACGTCGTCGTGGTGGTTGTCGTCGTCGTCGTCGTCGTCGTCGTCGTCGTCGCACGCTGCAGAACAGTTCGAGTGCGTTTCCAAGTGAGGTCCCTAGCCGCGCGTTGTTTCCCGTTACGGCGCCGCTTGTCGAATGTGTCAGGGCCGGCACGAGCAGCGTGCCAGCGAGTCCCAACGGGCTCGGCCCACGGGAAAGCTCTCCCGTTGGTGGGCGAGGCCGTACGAGGCCGTACAAGCAGCGCCGCGCACACCGTTTCGAGACTCCGTATAACCCGCCCATTCTTTCTCGTCTACCAATCATCGTATTATACGATGACCAATCAAATGAGCTCTGCGCCGACCGTTCGACACGCCCATCACCGACGATTACGATACTAGCGCCGCTGTGGTAGTTCCTTGAGGTTTCTCATTGCGGTACGCGCCGCAAACCAAGCGACCTCGCTGTGTCGGTTCTCTCTGCAACTTGGTTATCCTTTCTCGAAGTTTCTTCGATCTATCGCACGCAATTTTTTTCTTCTTCACGTAATGATATTTTTTTTGGGGGGTTGGGCTTCTTTTCTTTCTTTGAATTCGAAGGTATTCTCCAATAAAAAAAGAAAAGAAACAAGGTCGAAGCGCATGTCCGTAATATCTATTCGTTTAGTTCTTTTAAAATAGTTAAAGGAGGAAAAAATGTAGACATTCTCTTTTGGTCCCCTTTTAAAATACAACTAGTCGAAATCCAACATGTTGGAGAGTAACGCGAGGAGAAAATGTAATGCTTGATTTAAGACGTATTTAGCTTTGGATCCCTTAAACGATTAAATTCCAGTTACTAGTATTTACGAGAGAGAGAAAGAGAGAGAGAGAGAGAGAGAGAGAGATTCAATTGCCGTTTACCGAGAATACACGATGAAATAGCTTATATCGTCAGTATGCAAAGTACGACATCGGCAATTCTTGTGATTCGATTTACAATCCTACCGTTTAAAGAACTCATTCGGATAGTTTAGCCGTTTGTGTTGTCGAGTCTTGCTTAGTATAAGGGAAAGTATTCGAGGTGGATCCGAGCAAGAAGAGATTCGTAAATCGCCGCGAGGGATTCGAAGATGGACGACGTGAATCTACGTGAATAATCGACAAGAATCGACTATATTTATCGGCATTCCTAAAGGTGCCAACAACACAACAACGAGTTGCTACGAGTGCAAGCAAGCAAGCAAGCAAGCAAGCACGCACGCACGTTCTCACGTACGTACGTAAGCACGCACGTGCGCAACTAACTTGGTTTGATCAGTAGCTGGGTGTCAGTGTCCTTTTCAATGGTGAAGCATGTCGGAGACACGAGACGTGTTTAATGACGGCTACGCCTCGCGAAGTCGCACCTACCTAACTCGCTCCAGTTTTTATCGAACTCGGCAATCAAGTACCGGGAACTCCGTGATCTCTCCCTCAGGAGAGAAAATACTACTGTCGCGATTCTTTCTTGATTCTCATACTTCTGTGCCGAACGCGCATTATTTCTCTCGATTCGCAGTCATCTCTGCTCCAATTACGGATCGACACCTGTGCGAGTCAGTCAGTCAGTTAGTCAATCGTTAAGAACCACTCTTCTGATACCTGCGAAACACAAAAAACCATTCGGAGTTGTTCTTAGCTGAAGAAAGAGTACGTATCGAAAAGAATGAGGGGGGGGGTGGCGAGGGGGAGAACTTGGAAAAGTAATTATGAAATCCGCTCGAATAAATTTATGTCCCATGGAGGGTCGGTCGAATTTAGGGAAGTCAAGTAGAGACTTTTTCTTTATTTTTCTTTATCTCTTTCACTTTGAATTTACTTCTATCCATGTTTGAGAATCACTGTCGACAAAAATATGGGCTCTATCGAGTAAAGATAATGTGTTCTGTAACGGGTAATTTGCCATCTCTTCCCCTTCTGTTCTCTTTCTTTTTTCATCTCCCATCTAGAAAACTTTGGCATCTTTTTCTTCTTTTTTTCTTTCTTTTTTTTTCTTTACTCAAGCATCTGATATTCGCGAACGATATATATGTTTCTTTACGTTTGGGTAAATTAAACGACGAGATTTAAATGTCGCAAAATCAAATGCTTGTTGTTTTATTCGTCGCACGAGAGGATAATGAAGAAATTTAATGAGGGTCTGCAAACGTCTTTGCGAAGCATCGAAGATGAGCGCGTGCCAAACCGGTTTTAATCTTCTTTTTTTTTGTGTTTGAAGTCTTCTCACTTACTCTCTCTCTCTCTCTCTCTCTCTTTCTCTGTCTTTCTCTTACTTCGTTTCAGAGCCGTGATTCATGAGATCCCTCTCGGTTGCCCAACGGCCTGTAACATTGCCACCTTATGGCAACGACTTCGCGTCTGGAGTACGAAAGCCCATTTGGAAATAACGCTTCTCTTGCTTTTTTGACGCTTTCTCGGCCGAGAAATTCCTTTTAGCTTGACAACAACAAAAAATTCCATATGCCATACCACGATGAAATAAATTATTAATTGCAAGTAAACCATTAACATTTATTATCAATGTTTAAATAATATTTTGTCGAATATTACGAAACTAATTATTAATTTAACGAATTGTATAAATCATAAATATTATTTGAATGAATGAATAAATGAATGAATGAATGAACGAACTTATGTCTTAATATATCCGTCAATAAGATGAGTTACAGTCAAAAGAACATACAATGAGTTCCCCTATAAATCCTTGTGTTAACCGAAACGTGGTCACATGAATAAATACAGATAGACATTCCCGTGGTATTTAAATACGTATTCTTAAACGCATTGAAAATATTCGGTTAATCCAATAACAAACGGTGTCAGCGTACCTAAGTATTCGTATGATGTCAAATGAACATCGGCGTACCAGCGAGATCCAATTATTGTATGGAAGGGTCGGTCGGGCTTCTCGATGTTGCAACGGCTTCCAATGCACCCCGCAACGAGAAACACGTAGGAGACACTCTAAGCCTATTACACTGCTATGATAATATTTCGATCCTGGTTTTCCTGTTTGTCCTATTCTGTCCATTCATTCAACCACCATCTCCCTTATTCGTGAGCTTAAACGCTTGCGGATAAAACTGTCAACGAGTTTATTTTCTTCTTTGATATTTCGATATCGTTTTATTTTTCCTATCGTTGAAAACAAAATAAAATAAATTTTGTGTTCAAGAAGTCATAAAAATAAATTAAATTTCGAGAATAAAAGAAGGGTGACTAAGAGAGTACCTTTCGAAAGAGAGAGAGAGAGAGAATAAAAAAAAAGAGAAAAGAAAAAAAAATAAAACATCTAAAATAGGGAGGCGTATATTCGCGAAGAGATGCACTTGTAACACAGCACGTAACACAATCCACCGAAGAAGGCTGCTAAAGTACCATCGCTGGTAGATCGTAGAAACGAACGGAGAAGGGTCCTGCCAAAAGAGGGCCCTGACATATGTGACGCTTATGTGCCATCCCCCTTTTTTCTTTCTACGTTTCTTTTTTCTTTTTTTTTTTTTCGAGAAAGAACTTCGAACATGTGGACTGAATCGAAGTACCTACTATCTAGAATTCTATGAACGAGTTTGTTTGCATTCGCGAACGATTCGTGAAGTATGACACTTAATTATTTTTCGTCAGTTTCAATCAAAACACCATTACTCGATGCGATTGATCCTTCTCATACTTGTAGAATTTTAAACGATTTAAGTTGGAGAGTGAGACCTTTAAAGTGAAGAGTTTACCGTGTCGAATTGATTTCAACAAAAGTGATATTCTTTTGTGTGATTTACTACCTAAAAATTATCGTTTGACCGCAATACTAACTATATTCACTATACCATCGTCTTTTGAAATACGACGAATGGGGAGGATTTTCAAGAAGAAATGCTGACGCACGATTTTGATGGAAAAATATCCATTAATAAAAAATGTCTAAATTCGAGTCGTACGATCATGTTCGTTTATACTTGGAGCATTTGGCACGACAATACAGCCTGATCAGCACATCCGTGTACGATTATAATGATAATGCGAAGAGGGGTAAGGCGGGGGCGCGAGCAGAGCAAACCCTCCACACCCTCAGGGATGGTGCTCGAGTTTTTCGGTCCAAGTTTTTCTTACGCAGATGCGCTACCCGTGCTGGGCCCATTTATTAGCACGACCATTCTGACCCTCTTCTTTCTCTCTCTCTCTCTCTCTTTCTCTCTCTCTCTCCCTTTCTTTTTCTCTTTACTCCTGCGCTCCATTCAAAAGGGCTGGACAACAGGTTGCCGCGTCAACGTCATTAGCCGTTGCGTTTTTGTTCCCCCGGTCCTTTAGGGTTTACCTCGATGCCGATAAGAGAACCAGCTCGTTAATCCTTTCCACTTTTCGAGATAAGGTACAATCCGTGATTCTCAAAAGAAAGAAACACGTTTCTTTCGTAAAACGAATTAGACGATATCGTCGACTCAACAGTTCGATAATTGAACAAAATTTAAACGTAAAAATCATTAGATTATCCAACACAAAAATTCTTAATAATGAATATTATAATTTAAAATTTAACCCGAAAAGTATATATATATATATATATATATATATCGTAATAATGACATATCATATTACATTCAAAGCAATTACAATTTAATACAGAGCATCATGAAATTTTCAATGCCAATATTATGTTTAATATTGCTTAACATTCTAACGGTATTCGAAATGATGCGATAAACGAAATGAAAATCCACGATAGTGTCATACTAACGTAGGAAAGTTTGATGCATTTTCTACGGTCTTCTTCGGGCAAACCGCTTCATGATTTATTCTCAACATACGGAAAGGCATGGATACCTATACGAAAAGAAAATAGGGATCGAGGACGCGTCTGTTTCCATAAACCAAATTATTTTTATATCCGGGGATCTACGTTCGCGTGAATTAGTTATAAGTCAGAACGGTCACTCGACTGGACCACGCAACTCTACGATCCCCTTTTCTATATGATGTATACCTAAGCTATCTAATATAAGTGGATAT